TATTAGAAGCGAGGGAAGGGAATATTCATTTTCTTGGATGTAAGCTGGCCTTACTCTCTGACTCATTTGTTCCTTCCTTTGCCAAGCAAAATCATACATTCCTTGGATATAGCAGCCAACGGAGGGAAGCCTTCACACTTGACGCTTCAAAAGAGAAGTTGGTTGAAGATTGTATCTACTTAGGTAGATTGCATCTACTTATGGCATGAGGAGGAGGAGGAGGAGGAGGAGGAGGAGGAGGAGGAGAAGGAGAAGAAGAAGAAGAAGAAGAAGAAGGAAGAAGGAAGAAGAAGAAGAAGAAGAAGAAGAAGGAGGAGGAGGAGGAGGAGGAGGAGGAGGAGGAGGAGAAGAAGAAACGGAGGAGGAGGAGGAGGAGGAGGAGAAGGAGAAAAAGAAGAAGGAGGAGGAGAAGAAGAAGAAGAAGAAGAAGAAGAAGAAGAAGAAGAAGAAGAAGAAGAAGAAGAAGAAGAAGAAGAAGACGACAACCTTGGTGACTTTAAGACCTCTGGACTTCAACTGTGGACGTCAACCACAGACATGCTGGCTGGGGAATCCTGGGAGTTGAAGTCCACAGGTCTTAAAGTCGCCAAGGTTAGATACCCCTGAATGAAAGCCTCCTTAGAGAGTAATAATACCTCTCAAATTCAGGCAGAGGAATTTCCTATGTTGATTTTTCCAGATTGCAGTGACCCAGAAGTCAGGCAGCTTCTCCTCTCCATCTGCCACCACGTGAATTTAGTTATTGCCATATAGATTTATTCATTGCTACATTCCCAAGAAAGCTATTATTACCAAGGAAACATGTCTGTACAGGTAGACCTCAGCTTAACGACTGCAAACGGGCCCAAAATTTCTGTTCCTTAGCCAGAAAGTTTTGGAGTTTTGCCCCATTTTGCGACCCTTCTTGCCACATTTGTTAAACGAATCCCTGCACGTTAAGTGAGTCACAGGGTTGTTAAGTGAATCTGGCTTCCCCGTTGACTTCGCTTTTCTAGGGGAATCATGGGAACCCGGGACCCTGCAACTGTTATAAATACGAGTCAGTTGCCAAGCGTCCAAATTTTAATCACATGAGCACAGGGAATGCTCGCAACGGTCGTTAAGTGTGAAAAATGGCCATTGGTCCCATTTCTCAGTGCCAATGTAGCTTCGGTCACTAAATGAATGGTTGTAAGTTGAGGACTAACCTGCATATATGCATTTGACAGACTTGACCAAGGAGATGTAAACTGAACGAATGGAAGTCCATGGAGAATAAAGAATAGGTACCGTATTTTTTGGAGTATAAGACGCACCTTTTTCCCCAAAAAAAGAGGGTGAAAATCTGGGTGCGTCTTATACTCTGAATGTAACCCTGCCCAGCTTCTCAAATGGAGGTTTCAGAGGCTGAAAAAAGCATCAGAAAAGAAGCTTCAGAAAAGAAGCCCCCAAACAGAGCTTCAGGAAAAAAAGCCTCCAAACACAGCTTCAGAAAAGAAGCCCCCAAACACAGCTTCAGGAAAAAAAGCCTCCAAACACAGCTTCAGAAAAGAAGCCCCCAAACAGAGCTTCAGAGGCTTTTTTTTCTGATGCTCTGTTTCGGAGGCTTTCAGAGGCACAAAAAAAAGTTTCAGAAGTTTTAGAGGCAGAAAAAAAAGGAGAAAAAAAAAAAGCAAGGCACAGAGCTCACAACCAAGGAACCTGTTGCTAAAATTCACCTCTGGGGACAGCTGATTGGAGGTATTCCGGGAGGCCGATCCACCTGCCAATCAGCTTTTTTTCTTATTTTCCTCCCCAAAAACTAAGGTGCGCCTTATACTCCGGTGCGTCGTATACTCCGAAAAATACGGTAGGTTGAAAAGCATGGGTTCCTGCCCACTTGAGAATGTCTTGAGAGCTTAATATCAGCTTTTGGAAGAGGGAGGTCTTATAAAGATTTTAAAATAAATACATTTGCTCAATAAAGAAAGGGGCACCGTTGCTCTTTATAGGAGCAATTTGCACAGATGGTGATTATACAGATTGGGTTTTGACATCTCACAAAGCCAAAAGATAGCACCGATATGGCATTCAAGTCCAGCCCATTGTGGTTTATGCAGCAAACTATGATTAAAACGGGGCTTGGAAGACTGTATGAAACTTTTCGGGTCTGTGCTTCTCCCTCCATGTTAAGAATAATGTGTGCAAGCAAAATAATATTAATAATAAATCCTTATTTTGTGGTAAGAACGGGTTATATCCTCACTCTTGATTTGTTGAAACTCTGGAATTATCGCGTTTTCCCGAAAATAAGACCCTGTTTTATATATTTTTTTGAACCCCAAAATGAGTGCTTGGCCTTATTTTCAGGGAGGTCTTATTATTTTGGGGCGCATGGAGCAAGATGGGACTCCTCTTGCTGTCTTGCCTGATTTCCAGTTCTGCGTTTAAATATTTTCGGGGAGGGCTTATTTTTTGGGGGGGAGGCTTATTTTAGCACATGTGCTCGAAAGCCCGATTGGGCTTATTATCAGGGGATCTCTTATTTTCGGGGAAACTGGGTAGGAGAATTGCATTTTAGAAAGGGCCCAGGTTGGAGTAGATGAAACTTTGCACAGTTCCAGTTATGTCTCTACCTGTTTGAGGTGGAACACTGGGCCTCCAGTGAAACGATTCCCCTGTAATTTATGCCATCACAAGAGGTGTGGCTGAGTGGCAAAACACCTGCTTTGCATCCACAGAGTCCAAGGTTCACTCTTCTTACAGGTTGTTAGTGATCATCAGAGTAGATACTCATCCCTTTCCCACCTGTTCAGCAGACTCTTCTAAGTCTCCCTTTCATATATCTCGAGAGAAAGAAGGAAATTGTATTTATTATTGGTATTATTATCTCTTTTATTCATGAAACATGGAACTCAGTCAACTGAACATTTAAAAATGCATCACAAATACCATTGACTGGTGCTAATAATGGTTGATACGGGTTGCTGCCAACGTCCTAGGTATCAACCAAGCACCTTCTTAAGACGTACGATATTCCTAGTAGCGCAGTTTTTTGCAGTTCCGCTGGTGTTATTGCAGGAAGCTGCCATTTCTTGATGTGTTTTGTAAAATTCTTGGGACATGGTACCAAGTGCTCCGATGACAATGGGTATCACTGTTACATGTTTCATCCATAGCCGTACAGTTTTGATGGCCAGGTCGCGATATTTCGTGATTTTTTTCCCCCAGTTCTTTTTCTTCGACTCTGGCATCTCCTGGTACCGCGATATCAATAAATTGTACGCTTCGGTTTTCAACAACCGTGATATCCCGCGTGTTATGTTCCAAATGACGATCCGTCTGTATTCGAAAGTCCCACAAGATCTTCACTGTCTCATTTTCGATAACTTTTTCCACTTTATCTTCCCATGACTTTTTGGATACAGGAAAGTCGTATTTTTTACATAATGGCCAGTGGATTAATTTAGCAACTCGGTCGTGTCTAGCTTTGTAATCAGTTTGTGCGATTTTGCTGCATTCACACATCAAATGTGAAACGGTTTCGACTTTGTCGTTGCAAAGTCGGCCGTTTGGATTGTCGGTGGATTTTTGTATCTTTGCTTTCATGGCCTTAGTTTGTAGTTGCTTGTTCTTGAGCAGAGAGTATTAAACCTTCCGTTTTTTTCTTGATGGTTCCCCTCTTACGCCATGCCCATGTCAAGCTGTCATCCCATTTTCCTTCCATGTTTTTCAAGTGCTGTCCATGCAGAGCTTTGGTTTTCTATCTATTTCATCTATTTATTTATTTATTTATTTATTTCCCCCAGTGCTGTTGTAACTTCAAGCTGTCACTCCTTCACCCCTCCGGTTCAGGTTGTGGTCTTCTGGAGGCGCTGAACCACAACTCCCAGCAACCCCAACCAACATGCCCAAAGGGAAAGGATATGTGGGGAGATGTAGTTTTGTAACAAGACTTAGGGCAGTGTTTCTCAACCTTGGTAGCTTGAAGATGGGTGGACTTCAATTCCCAGAATCGGCCTGTTTTTGAGGCTTTTTTCAGCCCGTTTTGGGGGCTTTTTTTGCCCTGTTTTCGAGGCTTTTTGGGGCGCTGGCTGGGGGATTCTGGGAGTTGAAGTCCACCCATCTTCAAGCTTTCAAGGTTGAGAAACACTGACCTAGGGGGTGATGGCACTCCCCCCCCCCAGCCCTTTAAATGAAACCCATTCAATGAAGCCTCCTTCAGCACCTGTCCCCCATACAAAAGAGATCCACTGACTCCCCCACCCCCACCCCCATTCCAGTTCCCCAACTCCGGGGGCCACGGAGGACACTCTGCACATGCTTGGAGGACCCCTTTCCTCGAAGGCGGTGGAGTGGGGAGGGGGGGGAGGAGGAGATAGGAAAGGGCTTTCCTGGCGGCAAGGCAATTGGCTGGAGGCGGCAGGCAAGGCAAGGCAAGGCAAGGCAGCCCTCCTTGCCTGGCGGGGACGCGGACGACGAGCCCTCCCCGCGTCGCCTCTTTGCGCGCCCCCGTGATTGACAAGGCGGCAGGCGGCGCGCGGGAGCCGGGCGGACTCTGCTACCACTGCTGCTGCTGCTGCGGGCAAGCCGACGGGCAAAGGCAGAGCGGAGGAGGGGGAGAGAGCGCGCAGACCCCCCCCCCAATACCTCTTCTCCCCGTAGCTCCATCCAGGCCAGCCGCAGCCTCGGGGCTCCCCCCTACCCGCACCTCGCCCCTCTCTTCCCCGAGCGGTGCCACCGCCGCTGCTGCTGCTGCCCTGCGCGGAGCAGGCGGGGGAGCGCGAGGATCGCGGGGCAGCGGCCGGAGGGGCGGGCCGGCCACCCAGGTGGAGGGCTGGCGCGGTGGGGGCGGCGGGGAGGGGGCGGCCGCGGGGCCGCCGCCTCCTGGGGGGAGCGGGCCGCTGGCGGCGGCGGCGGCGGCGGGGGCAGCAACAGCGGCGGCTTCGTCCCTCTGATCCGCGAAGAAGAAGAAGAGGAGGAAGAGGAGGAAGAAGAAGAGGAGGAGGAGGAAGAAGAGGCGGCGGCGGCGGCGGCGGCGGCGGCGACCGAGGCGCGAGCGATGGACGAGGCCGCTATGCTGCCGCCGCCGCCGCCTCCTCCTCTCAGCCTGCAAAAAGCGCTGCAGCAGTGCGAACTGGTCCAGAACATGATCGACATCAGCATCTCCAACCTGGAGGGGCTGCGCACCAAATGCGCCACGTCCAACGACCTCACGCAGAAGGAGATCCGCACCTTGGAGGTAGGTGGGTGGGTGGGTGGGAGGGAGGAGGGGAGGGTGTTAGGAAGGTAGGTAGGTAGGTAGAAAGGTGTGCCTTCAGGCCCCCCCCTCTCCCTCACTCCCTCCCCTCCCCTCCCCTCTACCACCATCACCACCCCAGCCCCGACGGCCGAGCTGGGGGTCCTGGCCATGCATGCGTGTGAAATGAGCCAAAGGCGGCCGAGAGCGCCCGCGGAGGCTTGCGTGCGTCTTGCAGGTGCCCCAACCAGGCGGCTCGCTTTCCCTCCCCCCCTTTTTTTTTTTTGATGCGGGCTTGCGGCGAAGGTGGGGGGGGTGGTGGAGAGAAAGAGAGAGAGGGAGAGAGAGAGAAAGAGAGAGAGAGGGAGAGAGAGTGGGGAGAGAGAGAGGGAGAGGGAGAGATAGAGAGAGAAAGAGAGGGAGAGAGGGAGAGAGAGAGAGAAAGAGAAAGAGAGAGGGAGAGAGAGGGAGAGAGAGAGGGGGGAGAGAGAGAGAAAGAGAGAGAGAAAGAGAGGGAGAGAGAGAGAGAGAGAAAGAGAGAAAGAGCGAGGGAGAGGGGGAGAGAGAGAGAAAGAGAGAAAGAGAAAGAGAGAGAGAGAGAGGGAGAGAGAGAGAGACTACGACTACACTTCCCTCTTCCTAGACCACTGAATTAAGGATGATTTCCCTCCCCATCCCGGTTTTTCTCTCCTCCACCGGACATGGGCAGTATAGTCGCTCCTCCTCTATGATGTCTCTCCCGCTCTCCACCCCCCCCTCACACCCCGCCACCCGCTTCCCATTACGAGCCAGAGGCGCCCAAATGCAGAAACGCTCTCCTATCTTCCCACCCCTCATGGTAATAACTAAAGGCACCCACCCTTTTTTTTTTTTTTTTGCAAGGGGGAGTTAAAAATAAACTGGTATCTATGGAGTGGGGGTGGGTTGGGAGAGGGAGGGAGGGGGTGGGGAAACAGGAAAGTCTCATTGAGCGGTTAATTGGATGGGGGTGCCGCCGCCGAGAGTAATAATGAAGCCCTGTTGGGAGCCGAAAGAGGGGAGGGGGCTTTGCCCCACGTGGTCGCAATGGCAGGGACCAGATCTATATGGCAGGAGGTTCTTAAGGGGGTCTCTGGAGTCCCTGCAGACCTGGCTTGACTAGGTCTCCAGGAGTCCACGCAATGGCAGGTGTTCTGGTGTTATGGGGAAAACCTCTACAGGTAGTCCTCAATTTACGACCCCAATTGAGGTCCCAAATTTTACGTTTCTGAGTGAGAAATCGGTGAAGTCAGTTTTGCCCCATTGTGCCGTCTTTTCCTGCCACCTTTCGTTGAGTGAATCGCTGCCCTTGTTAAATTACTAGGAACAGGAACAGATTAACAGAGTTGGAAGGGACCTTGCAGGTCATCTAGTCCAACCCCCTGCCCAAGCAGGAGACCCTACATCTGCCTCTACCTAGGATCAAACTCACAACCTCCTGATCCTAATCAGGTTGTTAAGCGAATCCGGTTTCTCTGTGACTTTGCTTGTCAGAAGGTTCGCCAAAGGCGGTCCCACGACCCCGGGGACGCTGCAACGGTCATAAATGTGAGTCAAGCATCCTGAATCTAAATCACTTGGCCGTGGGGGATGCTGCAATGGTCCTGGGTGTGAAAAAGGGGGCAGAAGTCACTTTTTTCCCCCAGTGCCGTCGGTCGTAGCTTTGAATGTTCACTAAGTGAGCTGTCGTAAGTCAAGAACTACCTGTACTTTTAACCCCGGCTTGAATTTTGGTAGTTTTAACTCAAAGGCGGCATCTCTCTGTAGGGGGACTGCCAAGAGGCTCCCATTTGCAAGCTGGGAGCCCCATTGGACTGTCTGTTGAATCTCAGTGCATCACAATTCATTTCCTCCCAGGCCAGGTAGGTTGTCTGTCCACAGAAACCTCCCCGCTCTCTACTCATCCTTTGACTTCCCCAAGATTTGCAACGGTTGTGTAACTCTTGAGCACCACACAACCAGTAGCCTTTTCTCCTACCTGGATTTTTTCCCCCCCTCTGGTTCCAGTGTCATCTTCCCCCTCCTCCCTGTTGGAAGTGCCTGTATTTCGAGGAGGGGGATAATCTCACCTTCCCACCCCACCTCACCCCCAGGTTCTGGAGGTGGGTTCCGTTGCTTGGCAGCTTGAGAAAACAGCCGCAGCAGAACTCAACTGTGATTTATTTTTCAAATTGTTTCAATTGGACATGTTTTATTACCGTCGGAGCAAACGTTCTTCTTGTTCATTGATTCAATTCCTACGGCCACCCCAAATTGCAAGAGTGAGTCCTTGGTGACCTAAAATTTTGAGAAAAAATGCTTTTTCCCCCCCTTCCTCATCTCACGTGCTTGGTGAAACTTTCCCCTTGCAATTTCCTCTTTCTTTATGTAACACGGGCAGTGCTGGGTTGCTCCTGGTTCGGCCCGGTTCGGCTGAGCCGGTAGCGGTGACGATGTGATGTCACCGAACCGGTTCTCTTTGTTTGGGAGCTGGGCCCTCCCACCCGCCCCCACGTTATTCCTACCTTTATTTCTTCTTTTTTTAGCCCAGCTGATATTGCGCGGCAGAGTGGATTGCCGCACCTCAGATGGGCAGAAACCTAACACACTTGCGCGCAGTGCAAGTTTGGCATGCGTGTGAGCAAAGTGAGCATGTGCACAGCGATCGCGCGCAAAGCACATGCACGAAGAGAACTGGTGGTAACGCCAGTTGTAACCCACCACTGAACATGGGTGATTCTTGATGGCGGCCCCTTCCCAGAGGTGGTATACAGCTGGTTCGGACCGGTTTGCCCGAACCGGTAGCGGAAATATTCAACCGGCAGGTCCACCCGCCCCAGCTCTATGCCATCCTACCGCTGCCCCTTCCCTATGGAATTTCATTCCCCCAGAGCAGGGGTCTGCAACCTTAAACACTCAAAGAGCCATTTGGACCCGTTTCCCACAGAAAAGAAAACACCGGGAGCCACAAAAACCTTCTCGTGCCTGACTATTTCTTGAGCGGCCACAAAACTAGCATATGTAGTTGAATTAAACGTTCTGTTTTCTTCTGAAACTTTTCTTTTCTTGGATTTATCCATGGTTGGCCTACCGGGGGTTGAAAAGCTCAATAAATCACGTGCCAGCGGGTGTCACACATTGGCATATTTTGAGTGACAGGGAGCTGCAGCAGAGGGGTGAAAGAGCCACATGTGGCTCCAGAGCCGCAGGTTGCTGACCCCTGCCCCAGAAGTATTGTTGGCCCCCATTGCTGTTCTGAAAGGCCCTGGAAATAGGGGGTTTTGTCGACGGGTCAAGGGGCCCTGAATGGAGAGGGAACCGATCAAGCAATTGTCTGATTGTGTTGCTGCTGCTGCTGCTGGTGTGTGTGTGTTGATTTATATTGAACACATTTATATTGAGTGTGTTAACGTTGAATATGAATTTTCAGTGTTGTGTAAGCCATTCGGAGTCAACTGTGCATGTGTTGGGTTGGCCATGTACTCTTGTTGAAGAAATAAAACAAATAAATAAGCTGCATGTGCGTGCTGGAAGAGCACACAGGCAGAATTGTAGAAGAGCCGTACACCTCTGCGTACAGCAGTCCTCGGTTTACGACCGCAGTTGAACCCAAAATTTTCTGTTGCTAAGCAAGGCGGTCGTTAACCGTGCTTTGCCCCATTTAATGACCTTTCTTGCCCCACAGTTGTTAAGCGAATGACTGTGGTTGTTAAGTTAGTCACTGGGTGGTTAAATGAACCTGACTTCGCCCATCCGAAGGTCGCAAAAGCAGATCGCGTGACCCCAGGTGGGCCGCCGCAGCCTGTCACGAATGCATGCCAGTGGCCAAGCACCTGGATTTTGATCACGTGACCCTGGGATGCCGCAAGGGTCGTAAGTGCGAAAAATGGTTCATAAGTCACTCTTCTCAGTGCCGTTGTAACTTTGAACGGTCACTAAACAAATGGTTGTAAGGCCTATCTGTATTTCACCTGCCAGCGGATTTTTTTTTCTTGCACCAGCTGAATTCTTTGTTGTCTACAAGTTTATTGTGGCAATAAGGGGTGTGTTAATTTGCTGTGTCCCAAGTTCATAGTATCTCCTGTCGCTCGATTCTGCCCAACATGGCTACAACGATGAGTAACTTTTAACAAGGGGCTGAATTAGAAGACCTCCAAGGTCCCTTCCAGCTTCTATTCTATTCTATTCTATTCTATTCTATTCTATTCTAGTCTAGTCTAGTCTAGTCTAGTCTAGTCTAGTCTAGTCTAGTCTAGTCTAGTCTAGTCATTTTCTACTCTAGTCTACTTTATTCTAGTCCTTATTTCTGTTCTGTTCTGTTCTGTTCTGTTCTGTTCTGTTCTATTCTATTCTATTCTATTCTATTTCTATTCTATTCTATTCCATTCCATTCCATTTCCATTCCATTCCCTTATTCTTTTCTATTCTATTCTATTCTATTCTATTCTATTCTATTCTATTCTATTCTACATTCTTACTCTACTCTACTCTACTCTACTCTACTCTACTCTACTCTACTCTACTCCATTCCATTCCTTCTCTAATTCTATTCTATTCTATTCTATTCTATTCTATTCTATTCTATTCTATTCCATTTCAATTCCATTCCATTCCATTCCATTCCATTCCATTCAATTCCCTTATTCTATTCTATTCTATTCTATTCTATTCTATTCTATTCTATTCTATTCTATTCTAGTCTAGTCTAGTCCAGTCCAGTCCAGTCCAGTCCAGTCCAGTCCAGTCCACTCCACTCCAGTCCACTCCACTCACATGGTTGTTAAGAGAATCTGGTTTCCCCATTGACTTCAGTTGTCATTTAACCGGGATGGTATAAGGTTTCCTGCCTTGATCAGGGAGTTGGACTAGATAACCTCCAAGATCCCTTCCAGCTATCCTATCCCTATCCCATTATTCTATTCTATTCTATTCTATTCTATTCCATTCCATTCCATTCCATTCCATTCCATTCCATTCCATTCCATTCCATTCCATTCCACTCTATTCTGCACGCTCCCTTCCAACTCCGCAATTCTGTAATTAAGTATAAAGTGGCAAGAAGCCTCAATAAAATGGTGGAAGTTTAGTTTTCAGAGTTGTTTACTGTAAAGGATTGGATGCAGGAGCAATGGAATAGTTTGGCTGCTGTCGGAGGAAACAAAAGGGTAAAATACAGATAGTTGTCAACTTAGAGCTGCTCATTTAGTGACCCTTCCAAGTTACAATAGCACTAGAAAAAAAAAGTGACCTGTGACCGTTTTTCACACTTAACGACCGTTGCAGCATCCCCGTGTTCACACTTGGCAACTGACTCGTATTTATGACGGGGCGCAGTGTCCCCGGGGGTATCACATGTTCCCCTTTTGCGACCTTCTAACGGGCCAAGTCAACGGGGGGAAGCCCAATTCGCTTAGCAAGCGCGTTCCTAACTTAACACCTGCAGTGATTCACTTAACAACTATGGCAAGAAAGGTTCGTAAAATGGGGCAAAACTCACTTGAGACACGTCTCACTTAGCAGTGGAAATGTTGGGCTCCATTGCAATCGTACGTTGGAGCCTTGGCAAAGTTATCTGCGCAAACACAAAAGCCATTCCTTTCCTCTCCGAATTAAATATCTGTAATTCACTTAGAGCACAGCGGTGTTGCGGCCAAGCTGGCTTCCCAAAACAAAGAACGGCGCAGAATATAAAATAATATCGGCATATTATCACACTTACAGGCCATAGAATGGAAAACGTTGGTAGAGTTCCCAGCGTTCTCAGAAGCAATCTTGGCCAGCTTCAAAGAGATCTGAGTCAATTTTAGATGGATGGGCTCCAGTCTGGAACAAATCGCCGATTCCATCCGAAAGGGATCAAATTTGGAAAGTCAGCTCGATTCAGCTTGTCAACGTTGCGTTGCAGGAAGGAACCTCAGTTTGGGAAGTGGATTTGTAAATTGGATCACGGGGCGTTATTGAATCAAACATCCGAATAAAAGCTTTGCGTACTACCATAGCTGACCTGAAGCAAAGTTTGTTTGTTTTTTAATCCAGTGCCTTCTTTTTCAGAAAGTAGTGATTGACAATCTGTTGCTTGATGCCATTTAAATCAGAAAATAAATAAATAAATATCCAATGGCTTTAGAGTTGTTTCACACCGGGCATCAAATCCTGCGGTGGGTTCTACTTACCTTTACTACCAGTTCGCATCGTGCCCACGCGATGCTTCTGCGAAGGCGCAGATCACTCTTAGAACTTAGAATAACAGAGTTGGAAGGGAGCTTGGAGGTCTTCTAGTCCAACCCCCTGCTTAGGAGGAAACCCTACACCACTTCAGACAAATGCTTATCCAACATCTTAAAAATTTCCAGTGTTGGAGCATCCACAACTTCTGGAGGCAAGTTGTTCCACTGATGAATTGTTCTAACTGTCTGGAAATTTCTCCTTAGTTCTAAATTGCTTCTCTCCTGGATTAGTTTCCACCCATTGCTTCTTGTTCTACCCTCAGGTGCTTTGGAGAATAGCTTGACTCCCTCTTCTTTGGGGCAGCCCCTGAGATATTGGAAGGCTGCTATCATGTCTCCCCTAGTCCTTCTTTTCATTAAACCAGACATTCCCAGTTCCTGCAACCGTTCTTCATACGTTTTAGCCTCCAGTCCCCTAATCCTCTTTGTTGCTCTTCTCTGCACTCTTTCTAGAGTCTCCACATCTTTTTTACATCGTGGCGACCAAAACTGGATGCCGTATTCCAAGTGTGGCCTTGTTACCAAGGCCTTATAAAGTGGTATTAACACTTCGCGTGATCTTGATTCTATCCCTCTGTTTATGCAGCCCAGAACTGTGTTGGCTTTTTTGGCAGCTGCTGATCAGAAGTGACCGGATGTCACTTCTGATGACATCCAGCTCAGTGAGTGGAGCCTCCCGCCAGTTTTACTACCAGTTCGTGCGAACCGGTCTGAAGCGGGGGCAACCCACCACTGATCAAATCCCAATTCCCTGTTACGTTGTGTCTGTTTGACCAAGCACTACAAGCCTATACCTGGCATCCCCCGTTCACTTTAACCTACAGTGGGTTTCACATTATTATGTTACTACCGGTTCGCCCCACGTGCGCACACTCTCGCTTTGTGTGTGTGCGCGCCTGGTTCATGCCTGCGCCTGCCTTCTGTACATGCCCCAGCCTTCCGTGTATGTGCTTTGCTCGCATGTGCACCTTTCATGCATGCGCCCGGCCTAAAAAACGTACCTAAATAGGATGGCATAGAGCTGGGGAGGGGGGGCAGGCCCACCCACAATTTCCTCTCTCATTTTGGCGATGCGTTTCTTCTTCTTTTTCGGTGCTAAGTCAACGTTCGTCCCGTCCTGTTTTATTTCACTGCGACCCAGTCCCAATTCTCTTTTGTCTTCAGAAATGAAAGTGAGATCCAAGTGCCTCTTGAAGTAGCAATGAATATCCCTTTATGAATATGCATTAGTCCAGGGAAAGTTTTAATAACCTTTATTATTATTATTTATTGGGCTTTCTGAAGAAAAGTGTGGATTGAGGCCTTTTTTTTTTTTTTGAGCATTCTAATTACTCACCCCATTAAAAGGGAGAATCAGAGAAACAGGCTAACAGTAGACACATCCCTCTTGTCATTTTCAGTTGAGTGAGTCATACCGTTTCCCCAAAAATAAGACCCTGTTTTATATTTTTTGAACCCCGAAATAAGCGCTTGGCCTTATTTTCGGGGAGGTCTTATTGTTTTGGGGCGCGTGGAGCAAGACGGGGCTCCTCTTGCCGTCTTACCTGATTTCCAGCTCTGCGTTTAAATATTTTCGGGGAGGGCTTATTTTCAGGGGGAGGTTTATTTTAGCACATGCGCTCAAAAGCCCGATTGGGCTTATTATCAGGGGATGTCTTATTTTCGGGGAAACAGGGTAGTAGGGCTACCGTTTCAGTGCAGCAGATTGAATGACTGCTATACAGTTAGTCTTCGACTTACGACCACAACGGAGCCCCAAATTTCTCTTGCTAAGCGAAACATTTGTTAAGTGGATTCCACCACCCCCCGTTTTATGACCTTTCTTTCACACAGCTGTTAAGTCAGTCACTGCCATTGTTCAGTTAGTAACACGGTCGTTAAGTGAATGTGGCTCCCCCTTGGACTTTGCATGTAAGAAGGTCACAAAAGGGGATCACATGACCCCGGGACACTACAACCGTCGTAAGTATGAACCAGTGGCCAAGAGTGTGAATTTGCATCACATGACCATGGGGATTGCTGCAATGGTCGTAAGTGTGAAAAACTGTCCCAAGTCACTTGTTTTTAGTACCGTTGTAACCTTGAATGGTCACTAAATGAATTGTAGTAAGGAGACGGATGCCTGTATTACAATAGATTATTGTAGTTTATTTGCTGTCTATTTATTGTCCAGAGTATTGAAGCTCAGAAATTCTAGTTGGAAATTACCGTATTTTTCGGACTATAAGACACACCTAAATTTAGAAGAGGAAAACAACAAAAAAAAGTTTTTGGCCTACCTTTTTTCGGCCCTTTTCCAGTCTTTTTTTTCAGCCTGTTTCCGGGGCTTTTTTCGGCTCATTTTCAAGACTTTTTTGGCCCATTTTTTAGGCTTTTTTAAGGCCCGTTTTCAGGGCTTTTTTGGCCTGTTTCCGAGGCTTTTAGGGGCCATTTCAAGGCTTATTTGGGGCCATTTCCCCGAGGCTTTTTTTGGCCCATTTTAGGGGCTTTTTTCAGCCTGTTTTTGAGGCTTTTTTCAGCCCGTTTTTGGGGCTTTTTTGCCCTGTTTTCGAGGCTTTCTGGGGCCAATTTCAAAGCTTTTTGGGGCCATTTCCCGAGGCTTTTTTGGCCCATTTTAGGGCTTTTTTTGGCCTGTTTTTGAGGCTTTTTTCAGCTGGTTTTGGGGGCTTTTTTTGCCCTGTTTTTGAGGCTTTTTGGGGCCAATTTCAAGGCTTTTTGGGGCCATTTTCAAGGCTTTTTTTCGCCCATTTTAGGGGCTTTTTTGGGCCATTTTCAAGACTTTTTAGCCCATTTTTTAGGCTTTTTAGCCAGTTTTTGAGGCTTTTGGGGGGCTGTTTTTGAGGCTTTTTTGGCCCATTTTTTCTGAAAAAACAGGCTGAAAAAAGCCCCCAAAAGAGGCCGAAAAAACCCTTGAAAACAGCCCCCCAAAGCCTCAAAAATGGGCAAAGAAAGCCCCAAAAACGGTCCGCAAAAAAAACTCAAAAATGGGCTGAAAAAAGCCTTGAAAACAGGCCTGGAAAAGCCCCCAAAGCGGGGTGAGCGGAGGCCAAAAAAAAAGGCAGGCGGGTGGGCGGGGCTTCGGCAATATTCAGTCTATAAGACGCACAGACATTTTCGCCCCCTTTTGGGAGACAAAAAAGTACGACTTATAGTCCAAAAAATACGGTACATAGTTGGAAGCTTGCCGTACTTAGAAAAGTCCTTCAGTTGTGCTACATACCATATAAGGACAGTGGGTCCCTATCCATGTAGAACTATCCACGCGTAGGATTTTAATTCTCTCCGTGATTTCTTTTCGATAGACAATGCAATGCAGCCTTCCATTCCTCAACGTTCATTATTACACGGGAACAAAGGTGCACGGTGTTTTCACACTCGACTTTTGAGAGCCACGCCTTGGGCTTTAAGGAAGCCTCAGGTGTGCCAGAAAAAAATAATCATCTTACTTTATATACCTTAAAGCGGAATTAAAATTATACATTGATGATTACACTCTAAACGTAAATTGAATAATGAAACTTTTCGGTTTCGTCATGCTTGAGACCTCTGCGGCTGCATCAAAAGCTTTGCAGAGTCTCGGGATAAAATGCAAGTTTATGGGTTTCTCCAACTTGGCCAACAGAAAACGGTGCCTCCCAAAGGAAAACAAAACCCATTTATTGATTTAAAAGGCCTCTGGCAAGTTCTACCAAGAAGCGTAGCTAAAAACAAGATGTGAGATTTCCAGTACCATGGAAAGCTCCCTCTGAACAGCTTCTGCTTACAAATGCTGGAAGGGACTAGTTCAAATCCTTTCAGCCTTCCCTTTGACCCAACTCTAGATGAGAATGAATCATAGAAGGCCAAGGTCCTGCGATGGTGGTCAGATTTTTTCCCCTCTTCCTTCATGGGATAAGTCCCCAGTGCTTCTGGACAGAGGGTAAAGAAAAAATAATAATCTTACTGATTTACGGAGGGTAATTGGTTATCAAATCAAATCAAATCTTCATTGTCATGTGTACAATGAAATTGAATGAGCCTAAACCCCAACCCCGAAACACAGAATACATCTCAATAACTCAATAAATAAAAGAAAAAGAAATCCCTAAACCCAGGTAAGTAATAACTAGCATACATTCCCATATACGTATATGTAAGATAAAAGTAAAGGTTCCCCTCGCACATATGTACTAGTCGTTCCTGACTCTAGGGGGCAGTGCTCATCTCCGTTTCAAAGCCGAAGAGCCAGCGCTGTCCGAAGACGTCTCCGTGGTCATGTGGCCGGCATGACTCAACGCCAAAGGCGCACGGAACGCTGTTCCCTTCCCACCAAAGGTGGTCCCTATTTTTCTACTTGCATTTTTTACCTGCTTTCGAACTGCTAGGTTGGCAGAAGCTGGGACAAGTCATGGGAGCTCACTCCATTACGCAGTGCTAGGGATTCGAACTGCTGAACTGCCGACCTTTTGATCAACAAGCTCAGTGTCTTAGCCACTGAGCCACCATGTCCCTTCTATAAACATATGTATATAACATTATATTATATTACACCGTTATGAACATGTTGCACTCGCCCTGCAAGTCTATCCTATTAAACCTAATTGTGGTCTTACATTGTGTTCAGAAGTCTGATGGCCCACGGATAAAAGCTATTTTTCAGCCTGTTCGTTTGGCTGGCTAGCCTTCTACATCTCCTGCCCGATGGTAGGACAGTAAAGAAATGCTGACCAGGATGTGAATCAACCACAAATTTACAGGACATACATGTCCCCCTTTTGTGCTTTCTGAGATTTTGCAATGGCCAAAGGATGAAGAGAGAGAGAGAGAGAGAGAGAGAGAGAGAGAGAGAGGGAGGGAGGAAGGGAGGGGAGGGGGGAGAGAGAGAGTGACTTTTTAAAAAAGTTATTTAAATCTAAGTTTGGCGGAAAAAATTTCAAAGACTTAATGCTCAGATTTTGTGCAAACATAACA